CCGTAACTTCTCGGCGGCTGCAGGTGAGAGGCTTGATCGCAATTTGCACGCAGGAATTTAAAGCCCTGAGCGGGCAGTGGCCTCTTACCTCCGCCGCGCGTGCTGGAGGGCGTCCGGGTTATCCGCCGGGGCAGCGCTGCTAGCCAGCCTGAAAAAGCAGACCCACAGGGTTTACAGATAATCCTGTACAGGAGTTCTCCTTTAGGTGCAGAAGACAGTTTCTCCTTGTTTAAGGAAACGATCTATTAAGATCACAGGGGCCATGATCCTAATTCATCAAACTGATTCCGACTGTATTTCTCTGTTCCTATGTGCGTTTTCTCTGAAAAAACTTTGCTGAACAGTTAATGTGAGAAGCCTCTGCTTTTGTTTTTTGTTTTTAATGTGCTGGGGACTGGACCCAGGACAGGGAATCACACAGACTAGGCGAGCGCCCTGCCACTGAACTCTCCAGCTCAGGCTCAGGTTTCTGATACTTCTTATTCCAAGATCAATGTAGCCCAGCGTGTGGGGGACCTGTGATCCTGGCACTCATGGAGGCAGAGGAGGAGCACCGAGATACTGAGGCCAGCCTGGACTGTACAGTGAACCCAAAGCAGCTTGAACTACGTAGTGAAAGCCTGTCTTTATTTTTATTTTTTTGTGGAACCGGGGATCTTGCGCTTGCCAGGGAAGCGCTTATTCCATTCAGCCATCTTCCCAGCCCAAAAGCCTGTCTTTAAAAGAAAAAGAAATAATAAAAATGTAAGCCGAGTGGGTCTGAGAAGTTCCCAAAACTGAGATGAGGATGGCCGGCCCAGTGTGCCCCGGGGCAGGGCTGATGCAGCATGTGGAGCCGGGGATTGAACCCCAGTCCCTGTGCTTGCCTAAGCAGGCACTTAGTCCACTGAGCTAGCTTGCCAGCACTTAAAGTGGAATAATTTTAGTAGGCACTGGAGAGTGGAGTGTAGGCACTCAGAGAAAGGAGGTGCCTTATGAATTGGAGCTTGGTGTCCTGTAGTTATGGGCCTTGAGGACGTTCTCAAGATGGGCAGAGGATGATGTTCCCCACTGTCGGCTTACCTGCCCATCTGCCAGGCTATGTGAGGGTGTTAACCATGTAATATATTTGAAGATGAGATCTGCTGCCCACTAACGTTTTTGCTTCCTTGAGGATGGAGGAAGCATAATTTACAGGTGAAAAAGACAAGTCCTGAGCTCCATGGACAGGATTACTGTGTCTTTAACACCTTTAGGATTTTTTTTTTTTTAATTTGTGTGTGTGTGTGTGTGTGTGTGGCCAGCTCAGCCCACCGGGGGCAGGGCTGGCTGGCATGTGGTGCTGGGGGATTGAACCGTTGTCCCTGTGCTTTGCTAAGCTTGTTCTAAGTAGGTGCTTTAGACCACTGAGCCATCTTACCAGCCCTAGGAATTTTTTTAGAGTAAGTTTCCTGGAAGGAAAAAAGAAACTTTTGTGTACTGGAGCTGCATGTATGTTGTTTTTTATGAACAATTTTTATTTATTTATTTGGCGGAACCTGGGATTGAACTCAGGTCCTTGCACTTGCCAGGCAAGCGCCTATTCTACTGAGCTATCTCCCCAGCCCCTAAGTACAACTTTTAAAATGCCAGTTTATCTGCTTTCTGCTTGTTTTTAAAAATTTATTTTATCCTACTTTATTATTTATTTTCTTTTATGAATTTAGGACAGGATCTACAGGGTGTACAGTGTCTCACTACATAGGTCGTACTGTAGTGATCCTCCTGTTTTCAGCCTCCCAAGTGCTGGGATTACAGGCATGCACCACCACACCCAGTCTCAATTTATCTCATTGAGCCCCGTGGGCAGGCCAGCATGCCTGGGATCAAACCCCAGCCATTGTGCTCTGCCAAAGCAGGTGTTTTAGTCCTCTGAGCTATCTGGCTGGCCCTTTATCCTACTTTAAAACCTTGATGAAACAGAAGGCAAGTGCTAACATAGTTTTGTTTCTGTTGGCAAAGTAAGTTTGTAAAGGTGCAAAATATTTTAGCCACTTGTTGGTAGTGCACTCCTATAATCCCAGCATTGGGTGTGGCTGAGGCAGGAGGATTGCCGGGAGTTTGAAGTCAGCCTGGACTACATAGTGAATTCAAGTTCAGCTTGAAATGCATGGCAAGACTGTCTAAAACAAAATAAGCTTTACTCTCTAACACTCTGGTTAATTAGTAATGAGCTGTGGATTACCTCATTTGTACTTGGGTGGTGTGCATATGCAGACTGTCGAAGTCTGATTGTGTCTGCATAGGCCACTCCAGAGTCCACACCAGGATGCATGAATGTGAGATCCAGCTGAAAGGTCTGCCACCTTTACAGGTGGGGCACCAGAATGATGTCAGTGACACGCCTGAAGCTTCCTCAGACAGCAAAATGCCTTAAACTACTTCTTCTTCTTCTTTTTTTTTTTTTTAAATATTTTAATTTCCTCAAATTTGTTATCAGGAGTGACTGAAATAAAAAAATATAATTGAGTCCCATTATCATTATCATGGAAATGGCTTTAAGAGAAAACTGGTCAGATGAATATTATTGCTTCCCATTGTCAACCAGTACAGAGTTGCCATGACAAGCAGACAGCAGAGTCTGTTCAGGAATGCTCAAGATCTGTTATATAATACAGCTTGCCTATTCATAGGAGGAGAAACCTAGGAAACAACTTAGGTGTACTTCTTGATTTCATCATATAAGACAAGCACAAAGGCACCACCCATGCCTCAGAGAACATTGGACCATGCACCCTTGAAAAAAGCTTTGCCTCTTTCATCACGAGCGATCTTCCTCCAGCAGTCAACTGTGCCTGTGTACATGATGTCAGTTCCTTTTCGCCCTGACTGCGTCATCATGCGGCGGCGAACGGTGTCAAATGGATAGGAAGTCAAGCCAGCAACGGCAGTGACAGACTGTGCGATCATCCAGCTGATGATGATGTGAGTATTTTTGGGGTCCGGAAGCATTCCCTTTGCAGTGTCATATATACCAAAGTAGGCAGCTCGGTAGATGATAATACCCTGCACGGACACATTAAAGCCTTGATACAGGCCCTTAATCCCATCAGATTTGTAGATTTTAACCAGGCAGTCACCAAGGCCTTTGAATTCCCTTTTGGCTCCAGCTTTACCCACATCGGCTGCTAGACAGGTACAGGCAAAATCAAGAGGGTACACAAAGCACAAAGATGTGGCCCCTGCGGCACCTCCTGATGCCAGGTTCCCTGCAAAGTAGCGCCAAAACTGGGTCCTCTTGTCCACACCACCCAGGAAGATCTGCTTGTATTTATCTTTGAAGGCAAAGTTGAGAGCCTGGGTGGGGAAGTATCTGATGACGTTGGCCAGGTTACCACGCCAGAAGGACAGGACTCCCTGCTCCTTGGGGATTCGAACCACACAGTCTATAATGCCCTTGTACTGCTTATCTGCGGTGATTTGCTTGCTGGCATGTTGCACCTGCAGCAGCAGCTTGACCCGCTCGATGGGCGCTACCGCAGTCTTGGAGATGGCTGCGGCCACTCCACCTGCCAGGAAGTCTTTGGCGAAGGACACAGCGGCATCTGTCATGTTGGAAGAAAAGGAGAAGCAGGCGACTGCGGGACAGAACTAGGCTGAGAACTGGCTTTGACTCCCGGGCTCTAGGGCCTTAGACTACTTCTTTAGAGCACAAAATTGTTTTCTTTTTAGCTGAACGAAGGTATTGTAATAATAATGTGATCTTTTAGCTTGTCAAAGGCTTTCACATATTTGGGGGAAGAAACAAATTACTCTTTTCTTTGAGCAAAGGATTTAATTAGAAAAAAGACAACCAGAAATAATATCTTTCGTATAGTATATTTATAGGAATGCATAACATATGAGATGTACATTTTGAAGTTTCATTCATAACATTTACTGTAGTAATAATAACAAGACAGCAGATCATCACTTTACAACAATACACATGAATGATTTTGACTTACAAATAAAATATTTACAACCTACCTTTACAAAACGACATTGTGTGCATACAAAATGAATAACTGCAGAAAAATTTAAAAATAATAAAACAACCAAAAAACCCAGAAGATACACTTAAGGCAGACCAGCAAGACACTGAAATAATTAAGGCTGTGGAATTCTTCTGCACCTTGAAAATATAGAGCTATTTATCAATACTGTGGAGTGTTTTTAAATCAAGTGTTATAAGCCTGATGGAAGTATGTACTTATATGTATATGTGTAATGGTCCCTATGGGGAAACCTGTCCACTATGGATAAGGCCCTTCAGCTCAATGGTCAGAGAAGCCCACCACAAATTCTCAAAAGACTTGGGGGGGAGGGGTCTCTCAAAGCCAAGAGGTACCAATGTAGTTTGAAAACCAACTATGAATAATTCAAATATAAAGAGACCTCTGAGTCCAGGTAAACAGAACAGCCTAAATGATGGTCCTGCAATTTTACACTTTGTTAGTTAGCTCTGTGGACATCGAAGGACAGCAAATTCCTAAGGGCAAAATTTGTTTGCACAAATTAGCCCTACTGGTTTTGAATGGCCCTGAATGGTTTTCCAATAAAAAATGTCCTACCTGGGCTGTCTGCAAATGGATAGATTTCTGCATATGAGCAACAACATATACATACATATTATACACTATGTACATGTACAGATGTACACATAACAATATTTTCCAACACTTGCACTTAGATCACTACTTCTCTCTGAATAGGATCTCATTGTCAAAATTATGTGTAGCTTTTTCACGGTCTTTACATCTGTCCTACCACTAGTTTTACTCACCTTCCCTAGAGTAGGCTGAATTTTTGGCAGAAACAGAAGTATAAGCACCAGGGTCAGGGTCAAAAAAAAAAAAAAAAAAAAAAATCAAACATTGAAATGACAGATATGGCTTAAGTTAGTAAGAAAAGATGTATGTTTTGCTAACTTCAGATTCATAACCACAGTCTACAAGGTCATGTTAATAGTCTCCATAGTACTCCAGAATATATGCTCAGGTCTTGATGGGAGGCAGGGATTGAGGGAGCTTCTATGCCGCTATCCCTGGGCTAGCAAATCTACTTGGTCACATAAAAGCTCAGGGATTGGCATTCCACAGGTTGGTATTTGCACTTTTTCTACCACTCTCCCTTTTCTCAGCTGACCTCAATTTCTGAAATAAACTATCTAACTAAACCATTGTTTTGATCATTTGAATAAAAACCACGCTGGGGAGATGGCTCAGTGGAATAAGCGCTTCCCTGGCAAGCGCAAGGGCCTGAGTTCAATCCCCGGTTCAACCAATAAATAAATGAATAAAAACCACATCTGATCACATTTTAGAATTTTTCTACAAACAGGCTAATGGAAGAATCACAATAGCCTGTGGGTATTACTTTTAGGCTTTCCATAAATGTCCTTTAGAAATGAAGCATTAATGTAGAGTTATTGTTTTCTTCTCTCCTCTAACTTCTAATATAAGGAAGAAACCCCATTTGTCAAAAAATAAGGACCTATGATACTTCTGTACAGATTTTTCATGTGAACATTTCTTATTAAAAAACATCTAGTGCTATGGACATATTTCAGCCCTTTTAACTCTCTAGAATTAGTGAAACTGAAAGCTTTATTGTTTTCAGAAAATAAATATTAACATGGAGTTTTCTTTTTCTTAACGGAGCATGTTCTGTCCTCCTTAAGTCTATCCCTGGTCTAATCATTCATTCCCAAAAGATTTCTAGATTTTAAGTAGGACAAAGATCATGATGCAGTTTTATAAATAAACACACTGAAAGGTCACCCTGCATTTGCATGACCCGGGCTCCACAGGGATGTCAGCCAGAAGAAAAAGGACTACAGTCTGCATTCCTCAAAGCCCATCTAATACAACTCATACAATTCATTGGCTACCCTGAATTAGGACATGGTGAGTCTGCTTTCCTGCCGTTCTACAGAGACCCTTTATGTTCAAAACATTTTCTCCTCTATCAAAAGCATGAGAGAAAGTTCTAGCTGATGTACCATTTAATTTATATCATATTCTCTTCCTTGTATTCTTATAAGTTTAAATATCCATGCTCTTCCACAGGGGCAAGAAAAGGAAAAAAAAAAAAAGCAATGACTCGCTCACAGGCTGTATCGAATCATGGAGGCAACTGAACAACAAACATGCTTTCTGAAAGACCTAACTCTTAAAAAATAAGAAAAAAAAAAAGGATTCAAGTATTCCCTCCAAAAACCAACAGCCCAATTCATTTCTATACCTATGCATCAATCTTGCCTCTCTAGTCTCTTCTCCTAAGACTAAAAAAATGAATTGTGATGATACGAGAAGATGCAACATCCTCACTTCTGCTATCTCACTGAGGAAGATGGCTGTTAGGTTCTTCTCTATAAAATTTTCCAGAGCATAAATCTTGAGAAACAAAGGTAACTGTTGCTTTGGAGGGCATCTTGATCTTTACATCTCCCAAAAGAAATAGTGGAGAAAGCCGTTTATTGACATGAGACTCCATCAGTTCTCCTAACCTTTAAAAGCTTTTAAATAACCAAAATCATAGGGAAGACCAAAGAACATTTAGACAAAGAGCACATACTAGCTCCAATTAGAAGCAATTTATAGGATTTAACCCCATGAGACCGTAAATGGTATCTAAAGACATGAATATTGAAAACCTGGAATGTTCAAAGTTACTATCAGTAAAATCCTTAGGACTGGCAGTGTGTAGCACTTTTAATAACTCAAAGCATTTCACATTGTCTCAATGGTAGTATTTTTTCAACAACACTATGCAATTCATGTCCTTCACCCCTTCCTCCCTTTTTAACAATGAGGACATTTGGGGGCAGGGAACAACAAAAACTTTCTGCAAGAAAGGATGAATCTGGAATAGTGAGGCTGAAACTCAAGAATTCCTGGTCCCATCCTATATTCAGATGCTTTCATTTCAAAGATACTTTAAAATAAAGGAAAATGCTGTATCTAAGTCACTCTAAATGCAGTGGACTTCTCCATTTCCCATCCTCCCCTCCAAAGGCACTACTATTTGTATAAAGTCTTTGTGAACCGCAGAGCAGTGAAGCCGTCTTTCTCCTCTGCCTCATCCCTCCCCTTTAGATAGCTTATGGCTGGTTGCAGCCTGAAGGACAACTCCAGCGTTACAACTACTTTAAAAAAAATATTTTTTTTTTACCACATTCATGTGTAAGAGGATATAAGTCTATTTTTTTAATTTGAAAAACAAATTAAATGATGCCAGAAAAATCATTACACTTCTTACAAATAAGTGACTGTGGGTTGTCCCTGATCTTTTTCTTCTTTCTGCATCCCACCTTTACAATGAAAAAACAAAAAAGCTCTGAACTGTATGCAGTGAATGTAAGCCAAGCAAGAAACCTGGGATTTTAACCATCCCACCCCGTACCCATTGCAGCTGAGAATTCACTCCTGCTAAGAACTGCCATGACTGGAGCAGAAGTGAATGGTTTTCTCTTCCCTATTCTCTGCTGCCAAGTAATAAATCTCTGCTAACGTAAGAACAAGAGCATGGTCCCTGATCTGTCCCCAGCACATCAGCCTGCAAAGTCACCTAAATTACAATTCCCAGCTCTGCCCTCTGGGCTTTTTTGTTATTTCCAGCTTTGGAGAATCCTTGAACCAAGACTGTTATCGTACCCCTGTAGGGAGGGACCAGGTACAGTGCTGCCAGGGAGCCTCCCTATTTGTTCTCCTTCATTATCAAACTATATAAAATATACCCCTTTCTATAGGACCTCTGTTCAGTTCATTCTACTCTACTGATTGTACTGCGGCTCCAGATAACAAAATCACACTACTTTTCATTTCTATGTCCCTCCTTTCATGTCTTCCTCAACTCTGATACTTGGGGGAGCCTTCCGTGCAACTGCCTATAAGGATCATCTTGACTTTGATGAAAAGCTAATAGGAAAGCTCTGGCTCTGTCTAATGTCCTGTTGTTTCCCTGTTCCACAACATGATTTCAATATGGTCCTCTCACCACAGTATGAGTGCAAAACATGGTCCCCTCCTGCTTGTCCTAGCAATTCTGAGTGGCCTAGAAGGAAGCTGTTTATTCCAGTCAGCCACCATAGTCAGAAGAGAACTTGCCAAGCCACACTTGAGAGGAGTGATAAGTGCTCCAGCTTGTGATCTATCCCGGCCAGTACAAGCCCCATGAGTGGAATGTTTGTCTTTTATGTTTCATCCCTTAATGAAGACACGTAAGCTAAAAGGGCTTCCAGCAGACATGGTTGAAATTTTAAAACATTTCACCATATAGCATTATAGTTGTATACAGATCACAGTTTAAATAAAGACAGCAGTGGGATAGGGAGCTCTGAGGAAGGCTGAATGACCCAAGCCCATTAAAAACTAGGAAACAATACTGTGGAGTTGGTTTCCTTATATTTCATTAATTTCCAAAATACTAAGTGCTATTTAGTCTTATTGCTCGTACTTTCTACTAATTTATTAATCTATAATCCTGAATGGGATGAGGTGGGAAGTGGATGAATAAGCTGATTTTGAAATCAGTGAAAAAATATCATGAGTACTTTTAATTCTACATTTCCACTATGAGAGTGTTTCAATTATTAAAGGTCAGGCTCAGTTTCCACCATTCCTTTTTTATTAGGTTTGTAGTTCTCATTATCATTCATGAATTTTCTGCTTGCACTTCTGTGCTGCATGATTTCAATCTTCTTCATCCCATGAATAGGAGAGAAGTAATGCTTGATTTAAACACACACTTGAGTTGCATTTTTAGAATATTACTTGTTTAGAAGCAACTTTCAAAACACATTCTAGAAAACAAAGAGTGGGTCATATACAAACCTAAAACCCAAAAAATCTTTCCCCTACCCCACTCCCCAAATAAACCAAGGCAACAAACAAAGAAAAACCATGAATTGCCCAGATTTAGTTGCTTTCCCATCAGAGGGAAAAGGGGCAGTTAATAATCTTGTATGGAGAATATGCCAGAAAGCAGCATTGACCTCCAAATGCAACTAGTTCTTTTATCCAGAGAAATATCAGTGGCTGAGTGGTGATAAGTATTGTGACCACAGTTAAAATTCAACGGTCTGTTAGGGTGATGCATCAGGTTTGCTCCATGGCTTCAAAAAGGACTTAGAACCAGGCCTTTAAAAGGCTTATATGGCTGCCTCCTTTTGGTAAGACCCCTTAGCTTCAGATGGGGTTAGAAATAAAGCAAGCCAACTTTCTGTACATGAAGTCAGAAAGTGTTGGTACACTGTTCATAGGAACTGTAAGAAAGGTTTCTGTTTGCCCTTTTGTATGAACCTGTGGCAGTCACTTAACATTTTTCAAGCCAAATATAGACATAAAAATAACCCCACAACTTTTCTTGGCTTTGGCCTCAGTTCCCAGCAGACTCTCATGCCTGAGGAGCCATGAGCCCCCAGAGAAGCCAGGGGTATTATTCATATACAGTACCTGTCTTAATGAAATAACCCATGGCTGAGAGGGAAAAAAACCCTTCTCATTCACAGATTGCAAAAGGGTAACATTGCTTTCTCTTAATGCACAGAATCTGGTAAAAGATTTCTATACAAGATTTATAAAATGCTCTAAAAAACTCGTCATCTAATTGTGCTTAGTCAAAACAATGTAATGCTTCGGTAAGTAAATTACTGTCTTAACTGCAGCACTCAGATTTACTTATGATTGATTTCATATATAACTCTATATTATAAAACTCTGAAACCTGAATGGGGTCTGTTATTCTGTATGTGTATATGGAACCTATTAAGAAACTATATCTAAGTCATCTAAATCAGAATAGTTGACATATATGACCTCTCTATTAAATAGAACTTTTTGCTTACATTTTTAGCAAAGTCAGAAGCCTTTTACACTCCTCACAGTAAGTTTAAGGCTTGCCCACTCAACCACTCATTTTGGAATGTACAATTAAAAATTTTATAACAACTAATGTTTTTGTTATCCTTGGCCTTTCTATGAGTACTTTCTATGACTCTGTATCTTTATTTCTTCAGATTACCTTCTAAAAAGCCCCTGGGTTTCAGGTGACTTTTACTGCTGCTCAGACCCTGAATAACCACCAACAAAGCATAAGGGACATCACTCACTCTAGAGAGTCATGTGGGGTGAAGTAACACACAGAATTATTTACAGACACAGTCGGTCTTGCTTTGGTTCACACCGCATGTCTATGTGAAACCTAAGGGCTAGGAGATGGCTATGTGCCTTGGTTTACCCGGTTGACGATGTAGCTCTTAACATTGGGAATTGGACGCACATCGTTTTGGTGCTTGCGGCGCTCTATGAAACAGGCCAGGCGGGAGGTGTCCAGGGGGATCTTGGAGTAGCTGCCATTGTGGGGCTGGAGCCACGGGTGCTGCAGGCAAGTGGCTGCTGTGGGCCGCCTGCGGAAGTCTTCCTGTAAGATCACATTGATGAAGTCCCTGGCAGCATTGCTTACACCACAGAAGTATTCATGGGGGAAGCTGAAATCCACCCTGCATACATTGATGCATGTCTCCTCTTTGCTTTCATCCAAGAAGGGTGAAACCCCGCTCAGCATGACATAGGTCAGAACCCCAATGCTCCAAATGTCTGTGCCCAGGGAGACGGGGATGCCTTGGATCACTTCAGGGGCAGCAAACTCAGGGTTCCCCAGCAGGTGGTGGATGTGGAAATGGCCTGAGATTTGGACAGCATCTTCCAAGTCAATGAGCTTCACTCGAGGCACTGGGATCCGAAGGTCGATGAGCAGGTTCTCAGGCTACAGGGAGGAAGGGAAAAGAGAAGCAAGTTCTGTGTTTTGACACCAGTAGGACTCTTAGTGAAAACATCCTTCTGCTGTTCATTCATGAAGGCTACAGCATGCTGGAGATATGCTGGGCCAGGGCACAGATGACTGTACTCAATGAGTATGAACTCACTAAACTCTTAGTGTGGGTCGCCCTTTGAAGAAGTGGTTGGGCATTGACAATTTCGGAGCGAGGGGTTTTTAGTGCTAGGGATTGAACTCAGGGCCAAATGCATTTTAAGCACTGAGGTACATACCTAAACCCAAATATCCTGTCTTCTTAACTACCCTTGATAGAGAGGATTCTTTTTGAGCAGCATAAGTAGGACATTTATAGGTTTCCTTCTATAAAATTAGAACAGGTGGTTAAAGCTCCCCAGCCACCTCTCACCCCAGATCTCACTGGGTTTCTGGTGTGTCCTCACTCCTTTATTAATAGAGCACTTTTTTTTTTTCAGTACCAAGGACTGAACTTAGGACCCTGCAAGAGAATAGTCTTTTTTTTGTGTGTGGTACCGGGAGTGAACTCAGCACCTTGTGCTTGCCAGGCAAGCACTTATTCTACTGAGCTATCTCTCTGGCCCAATAGAGAACTTAAACTGTGTGGAAATTTAGTTTCTGTTTATGTAGATTTTACCTAATCTAAGTAAGTGAATTACAGTTTGCATTTCTTGAGGGTAATGACCAGTAGATGGGACCCAATGGTTCTGTTGCCAGGTTCTTTCTCACTACCTTTATATCCAAGTGTGCAACCCTGCAGTTGTGAAGGTACTGCAGAGCCTCCATGATGTCTCGGATATAGAAAGCTACTTTCTCCTCCATCAGCTCATCATGATTCATAAGGTAGTCTAAGAGCCGGCCATCATCCATCCTGAAAATGGAGAGGAAAGAAAAACAAAGTTTCTGTGACCCTTTCAGGTCTCTAAGATCTCTCTTGGAAGTCAATACTGCAACACATGCATACCTTAGAACCCAAAGAAAGTTCATTGTTCAGAACTAAAATAAAGTTACAGATGTGGTAAGTGAAAGAAAAAAAATGCATACAACCTTGTTTAAGAATCATGTTATTTTTCTAAAACACATTCTAAGCCCATGGAATGTATGACACAAAGCATGAACCCAATGTAAACTGTGGACACATGGCTGTCACACATGCACCACCTTGTGGGGTTGCATACAGGAGGGGTAGGCAGCACATGGAAGGTCTCTATACTTTCCTCTTAATTTTATGTATATGTGGGCTTGAGATATAGTTCGGTGGAACAAACACTTGTCTGGCAACCCTAAGGTCCCAAGTTTGATCCCCAGTACCACAAAAGAAAAAAAAAAAGCTAAAAAATTTTTTTCATTGAATTTTATGTAAATGTGTTCTAAAATTTTATGTAAAATTGCTCTAAAAAGGAATTAGTAGTTTTTTTTTTTTTATTTAGGACAGAGTCTACAGGGGCAGCAAACTCAGGGTTCTATAGGGTCTACAGGGTCTCACTATGTAGATTGGACTCAGTGATTCTCCCGTTTTCAGCCTCCCACGTGCTGGGATTACAAGCCCATCCCACCATGCCCAGTCTCAATTGCTGTCTCAGCATACCCTGTGGGTGGGACTGGCATAGCACGCTTGGGATTGAGCCCCTGCTGCTGTGCTCTGCCGAAGCAGGTGCTTAGTCCGCTGAGCTATAAGGCCAGCCCTAACAAGGAATCAGTTTTTAAAAATTAAAAAAGAAATTGTTCACAAGAAAGAAGTTCTGATATCCCTTTAAAGGGCTAGATTACAAAGCAAAGATACCCTTCACTAAGAAAAATATCAGGAGCATTTGGATTAACTAGGCGTAGTGCCAATAAACCATCCCATATATATTTTGCAAATACATTTCTTTTTTTGGTATTGGCCTCTTGCATACTAGCCCGGGGCTCTACCACCAACCTATATCTTTAGCTCTCACAAATAAAACAAATCAGAAAATAGTGATAGCTTAGAAAGTAAGAGGTATTTTTTTTTCCCCCCCAGGGATTGAACTGGGACCTTGCATTTGTGCCAGGTAGGCACTTATGTCACTGAGCTATATCCCTGCCCCTAATAGTGTTTTTGTTGTTGGTTTTTTTTTAGAAAATGGTAAGGAACTCCTTAACAAAGGAAAGTACCAAGAATAAGAAAGGGCTCCGGAAGGTGAGGGGCTTGCTCAGAGGAAGGGAGTCAGGTGGACCTGCCCACAAAGGAAGGAGGCCAGCTTTTAAAGGTCATTTGTGGGCTGGGTCTGGCTGATCAATATCTCAGTGCGGGTTTCATAGCTCTGGAACCCTATGGCTGGGCTGAGTCCATGCCCAATAAAGGACTGTCTCTGTTCATAGAGGTTCAGTCATGTGAAGCTCAGTTTTTTTGGAAGCCACGTGATCACAGGTTTAGGACAAGGACATGAGGCTTCCAGGTATGGCAATATATCCCTGTGAATCCCTTTCCTTGGTGTGCTCAGTCTTGAACAGGGATGCCATGGTGTCAACTCGGGCCAATCGATCCAGTTGTGCTGGCTTTTAGGCAGATGCCCCCTAATGACTAATACATCTTTATGCAGATCTGAGAAGGGATTTGACCTGAAAGTTTACAGTAACCAAGGACACAAAATGAAGGCTAAGCTTTGCTCTACTTTTATTTGTCTATTGAACATTTGTAGTCCTAAATGAAGAATTGCAATTTTGAGCAAAAAGGGCCTTGAAGTCCCTTATTGTCCCCAAAGAAAACACAAGTGGGCCACAGCAACCATTGAAAAAGAGTAGCCATGGCCCTCTGCTATCCCATGGCCGTGGGCCTCAACAAGGGCCACAGGTGACTAAGAATGTGAGCAAACTGAGGCACAGCCACCGCCGTGGACATCTCACCAAACACACCAAGTTCGTGTGGGACATGATCCGGGAGGTGTGTGGCTTTGCCCCCTACGAGCGGCATGCCATGGAGCTGCTCAAGGTCTCCAAGGACAAGCGCGCCCTCAAGTTCATCAAGAAAAGGGTGGGGACACACATCCGCGCCAAGAGGAAGCGTGAGGAGCTGAGCAACGTACTGGCCGCCATAAGGAAGGCAGCTGCCAAGAAGGACTGAGCCCCTCTGGAATAAAGCTTTGCAGAAAGTTAAAAAAAAAAAAAAAGAAAATACAAGTGGTGCATTTAATGGGCAGAGACCAGGATTCTAATTGTCCCTCAACCCTGCAGTGGTCTCCACCCTGTCACAATTGTCATTCCTCCATGAGGCACACTTTGTCTTCCTTCACCTCAAGGAGGAATAGCACAAAACTCCCTCTGCTTTGTGTGTGAGTATTGGTACCGGGAATCAAACTCAGGACCTTGCACTTGCCAGGTGCACATGTTGCTAAAATATCTCCCTGGTCTTCTCCTTTGTTTTTTATTTTTTTATTTTCCATGTTCACAGGCTTACGTTTTAAACAGTATTGAGACTGGAACCTTCTGTACACTTTGTGTTTCTCCACAATTTACAATTATATATCACAATCCAAGCAATGAGAAAGTCTGTGGCAGCAAATAACAGAAGTGATGGGAGAAAAGTCAGGAATATTTTATGGCTGTGAAAGTTCAGACAAGATTTAGCAAACATATCCCACTAGTAAAGTTGTGCTGTGAGCCTTCCACGGTGCATCACAAACTTGGCTTTAATGAGCAGTACCATAAAGCCAGTACCTGAAACATCAGAGGGGTGTTTGCAGAAGAAAAGTTCAGACTTTTGAGCATGTGACTGTGGAGGACCACTGGAGCAGCTCTCCTTGAAAGAAAAGTGACTGTCTCCATTTTGACTGAGCCTGACCCTATTTCCTCATATTGTTATGCACAGAGCTGGCTAGGACTTCTGTTTATCCTTCAATTGGCCTTAAGCAATGTGTATTGGTCTAGCTGAGGTGCTGGTGATAGTCTTTGTAGGTGGCATGCGTGTTTCCCTGGTAACCTACACCTGCTGCTCTTTAATGTGAGCCAGGTAGAGACAGGACGGTAGAGCTAATGCTCTGAGCTGCCAGCTGGGATTGAGCCTCGAGATAGAGGCTATGACTTCCTGGGGCTTGAAAGGCTGCATCAAAGCTGAAGCACCAGACTTACCAAAACATTAGATAGCATATAATGCAGATTACTCTCTCTGCATATCGGTAGAGGTAAATTTAGGCAACCCACCTAGCTCAGCTCACAATGATCACCTACTTCCCACAATTCTCAGTCAATCCTCCTCAAGCCACTCCCCTACTGAATAAAAACCAGGTGAGGCCCTGGGTCATGCTCTTAGTTCCGGAAAGCCATCTTCATGACTGGACTTAGAGCCCCTTGACTCCCCGATGATTGAAAATATAACTTAGTGTCTTTATTTTCGCCGTGGGTTGCATTGTAAGTGGTAGACTGGAATCAACTTCATGGGATTCCAATAACGTAACTTTGGGATTACAAATATTGGCTTCTTGGACCGAGACGAGGACCTGGAGGCGTCTCCTACAGTGACTTGCAGGATCATACTTTGACATGAATTCTTTGATTATGACTGTTTTGGCTGTTCTTGGTCACCTATTAACAGCACAGCCTTGCCCCATTTAGCAATGGTTTGAATTAGAAAGTCAGTCCTCATGTTGTCAACGTTTGACACCAGGCATCAGAATGGAGCCATCTGGTATCAGATGGATACACATAATCCTGGGTACATGTGCTCTAGTGCATCCAGGTCCTCCGTCCTCAGATGCAGTCTGGCAGGATTGATTCACAGAGGACTGGCAGTTAGCAATCCCAGGTCTAAAGTGATCAGAAGACTGAAGATTATGAGCAGCAGGGTTTGAAAGTCCCTGGGCATTCAAGGTTCTTCCAGAAACATTAGCATCAAAAGGCAATTATATGGTCAGCTGCAAAAAGGATCTGTTTTCCTTTTTAATTCTCCTCCTCTCGAGCTGCTGCCAAGGCCACTAGGGCTCATGCTGGAGTCCGCGTCAGGCTCTTCCTCCGGCTTCAGGCCACTGAGGGTGCAGGGCTGCGGGGACCTCTCAAGGAGCGTGGCAGGTGCCAGCGTGGCCAGGGGCCCAAGTTGGTGGAAAGCCTCTCCTTTGTTTTTAATCTTACTATTTTATGCTGTGGTTGTACTTTTCTTGAGCATGCTGAAGACCAAATAGGCAATTAAAATTAACCTCTCCTTATTGTTAAACTCAGTCAAGGCTCCTCAGGAGACCCTTTGGGGTCAGGGATGAGCTTTTTGGCTTCCTCAGTTTATTCTTCTACCAGTTGTTTCATCTACCAGGATGGGGTAGGAACGGGAAGGGTAGAGCAGAAGGGAGCAGTGTTGTTCCTGGTAAATGCTTTTTTTTTCAGAACTGGGGATGGGAACTCAGGTCCTTGTGCTTGCCAGGCAAGCACTTATTCTACTGAGCTATCTGCCCAGCTGTTCTGGTAAATGTGCCCCCAAGAAATTTTGAGAACACTGAAAACAGAGGCTCATGGTAACACTGCTTCTGGCCCAGAGTCTTAGCCAAATTCAAGCTAAAAGTTTTGCATAGTGGAGATGTCCACACCCCACCCTAGAACTAGCAGAATCCCAGAGAAGCTCTATGAGCAGCTCTGATAACTGCCAAAACGAGACCACAGCCAAAGTACAGCTAAGATTCAATAATTCACCTCAGGTCCTGGCTCCTTATGCATCTTCTCTGCACTCCAAGTCTAACCTAGTGGTGTCTGTGTTCTCACAACAATCTGGATTAATGCTGGATCTCTTTCCTAGTGTTGCCATGCTCTTAAGAAATCATCCATGTACATCTTGGTCTTCCTTATTCACCAGCTAGCTCCTCAAGGGAAAGGACTGTATCTTTTTTCCTCTGTTCTCTAGAAAATCTGGAATAACTGAAATGTTCTGTAGATCAAATGCCACCTCAGAAGAATTCCTTGGGTGGCCCACTGGAGCTGCCACTGCAACAGTGGATGGATGCCCAACCCCCCCACCCCAGTTTCCTTTGTACTCCATATTGGTCATCAGTCCACTGTTGCTAAGTTCTTCCTAAACTCCCAAGCCGAGAGTCCAGAAGAGAAAGAAAATGAACACCGAGAGAAATGGGTGCAAATGTATAGTTAGACAAGAGAAATCAGTTTTGTGTACTGGTAACTGTATTTTGCAACAGCTAAAGAGGGAATTTTCAATGTCCTCACCACAAAGTAAAGGTAAATAATGTGCTGAGTATGCTAGTTACCTTGCTTTGATCATTATTCAATGGTATGCATGTGCTGAAACATCAAATTTTCTCCTATAAATATTATACCATGATATGTCAATCAAAAAGAAAGTGAATCTAAAAAAAGGTAAATTGGACTGAGAAATATGTGGATTCAAGTCCTAGTTTTAAAAATCTTTATGTCCTAGTTTCAAAGATCTAGCTTTAAGGATCTTCTTGCTTTTCTAATCTACAGGGTGAGAATAACAGTCATATAAAATGGGAAGGTGTATGCTACATGTAGCATTTTGCATACTAGAAGCCTGTATAGAAAATGTAACCATCCTTGTTACTTGCAGGCAGTACACAGTCCAAGCAGACAGGGACCAGGCCAGAGAGACAGTGCTTGTACTCACAGTTCCAAGATGAGTATGTAGGACGTGGGGGACTCATAGGTGTCGTGCAGAGTGACGTACTGGGGGTGCTGAAGGTGCTGAAGCAGGGCAGCCTCATGGGCAGCCTGTTCCTTCTTCTTCATTTTTTTGCTCACAAATTTCACAGCAACATCTTTCCGGGTAGCTTTGTGAATGCATTTCTTCACTATAGAGAAACGGCCCCTGGAAAGCAAAAGGGAGAATTTTTCAGGATTTCTCAACTAGGTATCATTTTATCCAGGGATATGTAAAGTCTTGTATGAAGAACTCAGATAGTAACATAAGTTAAACAGCCCTAGTCCAAAGTCTGAAATCTGAAATACTTCAAAATCTAAAACCTTTGAGTATTGACATCATATTACACGTGGAAATTCCACACCTGATTTCATCTGATGAGCCCCAATCAAAATTAACATCCCCTTCAAGATAGGTGGATTAGTTACAGATAAAACATAAATGAATTCTGTATTTAGAGTTAGGTTTCTCATTATATTCATAAATATTCCAAAAATTTTAAAAATCCAGAATGTAAAATACTTGTTTTACATTTTGTGTAAAGGATAGGAACCTTTTCCTATATTTTTAAATTATAAAATCACTATTCAGAAACCCATTTTTCTTATTTAGCATTGTAAGTCTTTGAGGAGCAAAAAGGCAACTAATATCAGTTTTTAGCCAATACATTTTGTTTGTTTGAGATAGGATCTCACTTTGCTGTTCAGGGTGATCGTGAACTCATTATGTAACCCAGGTTGGCCTCAAACTTCTGGTGATATTTTTGCCTCAGCCGCCGGAGAGAAGGGATGACAGGCCTGTGTCACCACATCCAGATAGGTAATATACTTTGAACACCAAACACAAGTTGTTTTCTTGGTTGTCCTCCAACCCCAGTACTGGTTTGTTTGTTTGTTTGTTTGAAATAGGATCCCGCTGTATAAACCAGGCTGGCCTCCAACTCACTATGCAGCCCTTACTGGCCTCAAACTCATGGCCGTCCTCCTGCCTTAGCTTCCCTAGTGGCGGGATTACAGGCATGCACCACGATGCCCAGTTTTAGTACTGGGGTTTGAACCCAGGCCTCATGCACACTGGATAAGTACTCTAGCAGTCCTTTGGGTTTTTTTCTAAGCATAATATACACAACAATAACTAATATTCAAGAATGGAAGATTCTTTTTGATATTTTTAAAAACATTTTTTTAAATTATTTATTTATTTATTTATTTTGTGTGTGTGTGTGGCCAGTTCAGCCCACCAGAGGGCGGGGCTGGCTGGCATGTGGTGCTGGGGATTGAACCGCGGTCCCTGTGCTTTTGCTTAGCTTAGCTTGTTCTAAGTAGGTGCTTTAGACCACTGAGCCATCTCACCAGCCCTTTTAAAAACATTTTTTAAGAAGCAAAATTTCAATGTATATTAAGGAAAATTGCTAATATAGATGTAAAAGTAAAGAGCATGGGTTCCTATGCTCCCAGCTTTGAGAATCAAGATTTTACCAATTTTGTTTCTTTTGTTCCTTTTCAAACTCCTGTTGTTTTTTATTTTCTGGAATATTTCAAGCAAAATCTAAATATCATGTCCTTTCACTCATAAATACTTCCATTTATATTTCTAGCAGACATTTAAAACTGTCTAACCCCATAACCAGTGTCACATCTGAAATCACCCACACCTACAAGAAAAGGACACTTCCCACATGCAGGTGTAACCTTGCAGAAGGGAAGGCGGCTGGGCAGTCCAGCAGCAGGGGTCCCAGCCCCCAACTGCAGCACAAAAAGGGAGGCGGGCAAGGAGACCGGCAGCTCCCCAGCCCTGTGTGCTCCCTACGCAGGGCAGGCGAGCTGACAGTGACATTCCCAGGACACTTGCTCTGCTGGGAAGTCAGAGAATATTGTGTTTTTTAGCAGAATACTGCCCCTTCTGCTCTACCCTTCCCATTCCTACCCAGAATAATTCCTTCTTCTGCTCCCCCTCCCCCGTTCTCCCTTTCTGGAAGTTCTGTTATTCAGTTATTGGACCTTCTCCTCCCATTCTGTAACTCTTCCTAGTCTATTTTCCATCTCTATCTCCCTGCCATTCTCTGAAGGTTTCATTTCTAACATCTCATGATTGTTTTCTGAATATTTGTGTCATATTATGTGCTTGCTTGATAACTTTAAATATCATCTTAAGGATATTAATGAGAGTTTTTAGAAGCTTTTATGCATAGTTTCCTTTTTTCCTTTTTTTTTTTTTAAACATCTTTTAACTGCAGGGTCCTGAGTTTGATCTCTGGAACCAAACTAAATAAAATATTTAAAAAAAATCTTTCGTTTTGGAATTTTCTACTGGTGCTCAGTACTTAGTTGTGACTCATTTCTTTCACCTTCACTCCTGGATGATATATTTGCCAGGTTTAGAATGTTCATTGGATTTTTTCTTTCAGCACTTTAGAGATGTTAGTTCTATTGCCTTCTGCCCTGCTGGATTCTGATGAGAAGTCTGTACTATTGAAGTCACGGCTCCTCCTAATGTAATTTTTTTTTTCTATTGCTGCCTTTAAGACCTTTCTTTCTTTCTTTCTTTCTTTCTTTCTTTCTTTCTTTCTTTCTTTCTTTCTTTCTTTCTCTCTCTCTCTCTCTTTTCTTTTTTCTTTCTTTCTATTTTTTTTTTTTAATTTTAGTACAGGGTCTACAGGGTCTCACTACACAGATTGGACTAGTAGTGATCCTCCTGTTTTCAGCATCTGAAGCTCTAGGATTATAGGTGCACACCACCATGCCCAGCATTTTGCTTTGTACTAGTTTTCAGCATTTTGGTTATCTGTCTGGTCATGCTTCTGTTTGAGTATACCTTGATTAGGATTTACTGAGCTTTGTAAATTTGTGTCTTTCACCACATCGGGGGACATTTTATGCCATTCCTCACAAATTTTTTCTGTGCCAAGCATTTTCTCCCCTCTTTCAAGGGTTGAAATGACATAACTGTTAGACATTTTGACATTTCCCCAGAGATTCCTGTAATTACATTAAATATTTAAAAATTATTCTCTCCTCCTCCTTCTTCTCCTCCTTCTTCTTGTCCTTCTTTTTCTCCTTCTCCTCCTCTTTCTCCTTTTTCTTCTTTTTAGCCTCATCATGCAGTTAAGACTGGCTTTGAGTGCATTATGTAGCCCCCACTGCCTAGAATCAGCAGTGACCCTCTTGACTCAGCCTCTTGCCCAGCCTTCTGAGTGCCGGGATCACAGGCATGCGTCATGCTTGGCACTCTATTCTTCAGAGGAGATAATCTCTATCTTCCATTCCACTGACTCCTATCACCTCAATTCCACTATTGGGCCCATTGAATGAATTTGACTGTATTTTTTATTTATATAATTAAAAAACATTTTTTTACTTCGCTGCCGATGACATCTAGTTTTCCATTCATTTTCAAGAGTATTCACCTTCCCTTTAAGGAAGGTGGTTAGAGTGGATGCTTTAAGTTGTGATCATTCTAACAGTTGGATCATCAATGCTGGTACCTGTTACCTGGTTGTTTTCCCCTGGGGATTTTTTTATATTCTCCTGAGTTTTGTTAGGTTGCTTAATTATAGATGATAGCCTGAACATCAAAAGCACCTGTAGCAGGTGGGGCACAGGCATCTGTTTTCGCCATCTCCTGAGACAGTGTCTTCTCAGACACTGGAAAATGACAAGTGGGGAAGAAAAGAAGGAGAAATGTGGATCCCTGGGACTCAGGAAGGGCCTGTAGGGAAAACTGAGCTTGCAGAGAAACTGACCAGATAGATCACAATGCAGAAAAAGGAACGGGCACCTGTGCTTTCTGCCCAGCTCTTGGATCAGAAGAAGGTAGACCGAAGAAGATGGACTGTACAGAGACAAAGTGAAAGTGGGCAACTCTAGCAGTCTTCCGGGAGAAGTGCACCAGGGGAATGAAGCAGTGGCTAGTGAGTGACTCCAGCCCATGCCCCTGTCTTGTCCTCAGAGACAGGGTTGGTCAGATGCCACTTTAGAGAGGGGCCAACTGAGTATGGGACTCAGAGCAGTCTCTGCTTGGCTCTATCTCAGAGCTGCTGGTGTTAAGCTCCCAGTGACTGGGTGAGGGGCAATCACAGGTGCCCTCACAGTCAGGGAAACATGGGCTGGCCAGCAAGAGACACCCAGAGCGTTATACGCTTAGGTCCCAACCCACTACCAAACATCAGGTTGAGTCTGAACTTCCAAGGACTTGAATGCCTCAGATCAAATGACGCACCCTAGTCCTAATGCGGACCAGCTGAGATTTTCCAGCATGGATCAGGCCTCTGACCACTTTCTGTGCCTACCAACAAGAGGAGAATTACACTTTTAATTGGACACTGCTACAAAACTATAGACCCTGAGAACCACACACTTGAAATCAGAAAAATTTCATCACCTTTTTTACCTTTTGCTTTTGGTGTCACTCTCCCTTTTTTTTTGAACGTTGTAAGATATAGTTATTATTTTTCTTTTCTTTTCTTTTTTTTGGAACCGGGTATTGAACTCAGGCCCTTGCACTTGCCAGAGAAGCGCTTATTCCACTGAGCCATCTCCCTGGCCCAGCTATTATTTTTCTTACCGAAGTGCAATGATGTTTAAATCTTCTTAAACAAATAACTATTAAAAAGTATTCCAGAAAAGGAAATACAAATGGGAAATCTAACCCCTAGATTGCCTTTTGTAATTTCACCCTAACTCTATATTTAGTCTAGGAAACAAACAGAAAAATTTGAATTGTTAATAACGTGAGAACTGAATTGAGTTTTTATTCATTTGGGTTTTTTCTCTCTGGTGTTTGTTTTTGCTTCTTTGTGAGGGTGAAGATTTTTTGTAGGTTTTGTCCCTGTTTTTGTTTTTTCATTGTTTCCTTCCTTTCTGCCTTTTTCACCAGTTTTGTGAGACTTGGGTAATCTTCCTCTGTCCTTTAGCCTTGCTTCTAATCTGTTTTCTTATTTTTTCTATTCTCCCTTTTAATTTTTCCCTTAGGGTAAAATTGTTCTAGTGAGTAGATATTTACTGTATACAATTTTCTAATTCATCTTAGACTTTATTACATAACCATAAGCCTTGTATATATTTATAAAAGTGGTAAATCATTAGTTATTATAGCTTGATGCTATCGTCATTGCTGATTGTACTACTTTAGTCAAGGTGACATAGCTGCTATGATCAATTGATCTTCCTTGTATCCAATACCTACATTGTTTGGGGGACATAAACAATATTGAAGTCCTGTACCAAAGAGCTGGCTGCTTGACCAAACAGTCTACATCCTTTCATCCCTAATAAACAGAAGAAGCAGGATCCCGGGACAGACTCAAAGGCCAAGAGCTAGCTAGGCCTAGAAGACATCTCTGGAAAGTAATCATTTACTAAAGCTGTCCCAGTGCTAGTAACAAATCTATCTGCCCATAAATAATTTACAAACATCAATGCAGAAAACAAGTATACAAACAAAACAGTAAGAAAACATGGAAATAAGATGCAAGCCCAGGCCTCTAGTTTGCTAAAGGCAAATCCAGGGGACACTGAGGTGAAAAAAGTAAAAATCCACCCAGATAAACTCTCTGGGGCTGGTGAGATGGCTCAGTGGTCTAAAGCACCTACTTAGAACAAGCTAAGCTAAGCAAAAGCACAGCGACCGCGGTTCAATCCCCAGCACCACATGCCAGCCAGCCCCGCCCCCTGGTGGGCTGAGCTGGCCCCCCCTCCACAAATAAATAAATAAATAAATAAATATAAAATAAAAAATAAACTCTCTGAAATGGTAGTAATGGAAGTAACAAAGCAGATAAATGAGTCTCTAGGAAAAAAATCAGTAAGAATAACATAGATAATTAAAGAGATGATGACCATTATGAAGACATGATTAGTGAATCTAGAGTAAACATAGATTTAAAACAATAGAGGAGCTTAGGAAAGTAATGGAAACCATAAATATTCAACATAGGAAAGAAATGGATTCCATGAAACAGATTCAAACATCTAGGAGATTAAAAATTCCATTGAAAATATAAGCAGCAGAATCAATCAATGTACAAACAGAATATCAGAAGACAGGTTGGGAGTTAGTAATCATCAAATAAAACATTTCTTAAAAATAGCAAAGGACCATGAAAAATCAATCCAAAAGCTGCTAAATGAAGCAAAGAAGAATAATATAAGATTGATAGGAATAAATAAAAAAATAAGAAGACAGTGCAAAAGACACAAAAAACCTGTTCATAGAAATAATGGCAGGAAACTTTACAAGCATGGAAGAATCTAACATACAGATAAGTAAAGCATACAAAACTCCCAATTAACTATGTTCAGAAAAAAAAAAAGCTGCACAAAGGCATATGATAGTCCAGATTCCAGAAATTCAATATAAAACTATTTTTTAAAATTTCTTTTTCTTTCTTTTTTTTTCTTTTCTGCTGTATTTAGGACAAGGTCTACAGGGTCTACAGGGTCTCACTATGTAGATCGGACTCACAGTGATTCTCCTGTTTTCAGCCTCCCACGTGCTGGGATTACAGGCGTGCTCCACCACACCCAGTCTCAATTGTCGTCTCAGTGTGCCCAGCAGGTGGGGCTGGCAGGGAATGGGTCAGGGATTGAACCCTGGCTGTTGCTGCTAAGCAGGTGCTTTGGTCCACTGAATTACAAGACTATTAGAAGCTGTTACAAATGAGGCATATAAAGTAAAGCCATATTAATATGCTGAACTATAAAAGGCTCTAGTCAACAACTTCTGTGGATAACCTACTACTGTTGTGGACTACTGGACTGTGTTGGATTGTTTTGCTGAATTCAAGCACCTATAATATTTAGATGCCAATAGAATACCCATCTCTGACAGGACAGAACTGGACAGGGGGATACAGAGGAAGGACCATTTTGTATTTGTGTATACAGAATAGTTAGGATAGATGTACGGCTGGTTTGGCTTGGTTCAGTGAGAGGAAGGATTTGTAATAGTAGTGTTTGGATGGGATGTCCTGGCTGCTTCTTGTGTTGTGGATGACCACTGAGAAGATAACAATGTGCAATGTATTAATTATTGAAAATGTCCTATTAATCAGCTTGGAAAGTGTCTCATTGATATTTGTCTCTCAATAAAATAAAAAATAAAAAAAATTTAAAAATGAAAGCTGTTTAAAAAAAAAAGGAACAAATCACCTATAAAGGAAAGCTCACCAGATTTTCTTGACATAAACTCTTAAGTCAGGGAGACTTGGAAGGAAATATTTCAAACTTTAATAGAAAACAACCTCCAAACAAGACTAATGTAACCTGCAAAACTATCTTTTAAAATGGATGGAGAAATAATATACTTCCATGATGGAGTACACCTGAAGAAATTCATAACCACCAAACCAGCAAGAAGTTCTGAAGAACATTCTAGAAAGAGACAGTGAAGATTATAATTTCATGAATCCCAGTAGAATGAATCTACCAGGCAAGGGAAGCAATTAAACAGAAGGAAGAGAAAGCAAACTAGCAAGAGGAAAATAAAATGACAAAGATAATTAAATATATAATAGTCATGACCATCAGTGTAAATGGTCTCAATTTACCCTATCCAAAGTGGGCATCTGAAATAAATATACACTTTTCAGATGAAGAAATACAAACAGCAAATAAATATATGAAAAAATGTTCATTATCACTGGTCATTTGAGAAACACAAATTAAAAGAATCCTAAGAGTTTATCTCACTCTAGCAAGAATGGTTATTATCAAGAAATCAACCAATAACAAATGCCGGTGAGGTTATAGGAGAAAAGGAACTCTTCTCCTCTGTTGGTAGGAGTGTAAACTGGTATAACCACTATGGAAATCAGTATTGAGATTCCTCAAAAAACCAAAAGTAGAGGTTGCATTTGATTCAGCTGTTTCCCTTCTAAGCATCTTCCCAAAAGAGTTAAAGTCATTATATCACAGTGATAAATCCATGCCAATGTTTATAGCAGCCTAATTTATACTAGCTAAAGTTTGGAAACAACCCATGAATAGATAAAGAAAATGTGGTACTTACATACAGGCAGATTATACTGCCACAAGGAAGGATAAACTTGAGTCATTTGTAGGTAAATGGATGCACTCTGACACCATAATTTAAGATGAAATAAGACATAAGGATAAGAAATATTTCAAACAGACTAACTAGATTCTGTAACCAAAATGTAGCTAATTTAGGAAACAACAAAAGATAATTATTTTTTTATTTTTATTTTTAGTCTTTTTGAGATATTGTCTTGCTATTTAGGCTGGCCTTGAGCTTGCTTTGTAGCCCATACTGGTCTCAAACTTGCAACAATCCTCCTGCCTCAGCTTCCCAAGTGCTGAGATTATAGGCATATGCCAGCACACCCTGCCCTACAAAAGGCAATTCTTTAAAAAATAATCATACATAAAGCAGGTGTGATAGTACACACCTGCAATCCCAGCACTTGGAGCTCTTGGGATGCTGAAGTGGAAGGACAAACATGAGATTGAGGGCAGTCTGGATTATATAATGAATTCAAATCCAGACTAAAAGGCTTAGTGAGAACCTGTGTCAAAAAACTAAACAAAAATGGGCCGGGGAGACAGCTCAGAGGCTGGGGACATAGCTCAGTAGAATAAGCACTTCCCTGGCAAGTGCAAGGGCCTGAGTTCAATCGTCGGTTCCACAAAACAAACAAACAACAAAACAAAACAAAACCAAAAAACCCAACCTAAACAAAAACAAAAATTCCATACCAATTAAAATTTTTTTCCATTATAATTTGGTTAGAGAATCAGTTGAAAATAAAATAATGAAAATGCCAAATGAGAAATGTAACAAAAATTGTGCTTAAAAGAATTTGAGGCTGAAAATGTGTAGGCCTGTAATCCCGTCACTTGGGAGGCAGGAGGATTGCTGTGAGTTTGAGGCCAGGCTGGGCTACATAGCAAGACCCTGTCTAAACAAACAATAAACAAATGAAGAGAGGCTGAGGACTGACAAGAGAAGCATCCAACTTAAGTAAAAAGAACACTAGAGAACATATACAAATATTCTAGATGTTTTCTTCCTATAAAGAAAACGTATTTATAAAAGAAAGAAGAGGGCCAGGGAGATGGCGAAATGGCTCAGTAAAATAAGTGCTTCCCTGGCAAGTGCAAGGGCCTGAGTTAGATCCCCAGTTCTGCCCCCCCAAACAAAACAAAACAAAACAAAACAAAACAAAACAAAACAAAACAAAACAAAACAAAAAGAAAGAAGGACAAAAACATATCATTATTTTGTGGTCATATTGCTGAGTGTTCACAGAAAACCATTCTTACCTTCCAATCTCATTCAGTTCAGTATACGCAGAGTCAAAGTTGTCCTTCCAAGAAATGGTGGCTCCATCTGCAGCTGCATCTTTGGGAGAAAGACAGGGGATCCATTGATGGTATCGAGGATTTCACAGGGGAATAAGGAAAAAGCTAACAGAAGAGCTCCAGCATAACCACAAAGTTGTACTCATGCCCAAATATGGATGCTATGGTGGTGGGAAAGTTATTTTTAAAATATCATCCAAGGGAAAACTGACATGACACAGAGTGACACTCCAAAGTCAGACTCTCTGTCATCTTTACACAAAGGGAAAACTTGGGGCAATCCGAAACGTAGCTCCCTTAAAAGTAGAAATCTGGTAGACACATAAGAAGGGAGAGTAGAAAACACTTGGAAGGGTTAGCAGAGATTGTGAGAACCAGGGACATAGGGAAGATGAAGGCGATGGGGAGATCACAGCTCAAGGAAGGAGGAGAGGAAGGGCATGCTCAAGCATTTCTCGGACTTCTCCGACTTGCACTGGCCTCGGGCTGGCAGGAGTGGCTCCAGTGCCCTGCATGCTTCAACTTAGTCCACCGTGATCCTTTGGCCACTTTACCTTGCATGATGGTAAAGATATATGTATGGTCACCCACGCCCACACCCACATACCACCCCCCACACACAGTATGCAGGTCCATATATGTCTGTGTTGTGGGAACCAATGCTGGAAAGTCACAGCAAGACACAAAGCATGCCCATCTAGGCTGGCTGAGTGAGTGACTTGGGGAGAGGAGCTACATTAACAGGTTGGCTCTCCTGATGCTATATTGGTCACCTCAGGTTGTCCACACCACAGCCTGGCTCAGTGTCCCCATGTGGCCCATCACATGGGGACACTGAGACCCAAAGCCATGGTTTCTCAATGAGTTACAGGCTCATGGGAATAAGTCAAAGTCACCAGGAGGGAAGTGACTAGGCTGGCAGAGGGGGCAGGAGCAGAGAACATGTTCTGACTCATCTGGGGAAGAGGAGTGGCTCACAGCACTCTGGGGACTACAGATTTTCTTTAACCCTAAGAACCATGAACCAATGCCATGTAAGTACAGTGACAACCCCACCCTCCTGTCCTCAATACACATAGGCCACTTCCTAACACCACCTGAAATATTACTATTAGGATACTCTTTTAGCTAGCAAGTTTCTTCTCCTAAAATTCCCCTTATATCTTAATCTTTTAACAAACCTACATAAAAATATATTTACACTGACAAAAGAAATTCTAGGAAGGCATCAAATATTCATTTTGTAGGGAAATCATTTAGCCAGGTTGCTGTTCTCTCGGTTTGAAGTTGGTAAGTGGGACTGTCCTGGATGCTGTGAGGGAAGCAGCTGCCCACAGAGCTGCCTGGATGAAAGTGGGCTTCATTGTCCTGTCTCTGCAGGGAGCATGCAGAACTGCTATGGGTCATGACTCCCTCCACATGCATTCCTGGGGTGACACCTGGTTCTCCTGGGAATGCTGCAGTGCAGGATTAGCCAGGGTGGCAGACCTAACCTCTGCACCCTCTTAATAGAATCCTTCTTCAGATGCTGAAAAGGCGCTTGACTGTAGTGGCTGAGCAGTTCCAGGTCACCTTTTGCACAGGGACCTGATGATGCCAGTGAGTTTGCGACAGGGGGCCAGGCACCATGACCCCACTGCCTGACGGGGACTCACCATACTCTGGAAGTCGCACAAATTCTGAGGGTTCACTGGGAAGGCTGATTCCCCAAGGGTTGCTGGCACTGACTCTGAACTGATAAGGACACCCGGGACTAAGGTCTTCAATGACAAGGTAGGTGTCCAAGGTCGAAGCCACCGACTGCTGCCAGACCTGGGAACCTAAGGCACAGTGTTGGAGGACAAGGAGAGAGACAAAGACAAAGCCACATTGTTTGAGAGACCTTCAGCAGACAAAAAAACCAAAAATGGATAAATCTGCTGGAGTGCACAGTTGTGGCACTGCTTCAACCTCTGAAAGCCTGTGGGTCAACTGTGGCAGGCAGGGGTCTAAACCAGACCCTAAGTGACTTCAGAACTGTTGATGGTTGTGGAAGAGGTCAGCTTAGGAGTTCTGTCCCCTCTCCAGTGTGCAACTGTGCAAATCAAAAGATGTAACACTCCTGACATTACAGAGGAACATGTGGCAAAGAGTTAATTAAGCTGGAGGAAATAGTGCACATCAGCTACAAAACGAGAGGAAGTATGTCTTTGGAAATTGAAACAAACTGGAAGTGAGCACTAGATGTATGTAACATACTATGGCGGGTGTCTTCCTTGCAGCTCTCTCATTGAATTTGCTCATTTAAACTTGCAGAAATCCTGGAAAGTATGAGCATAAAAGAAACTGAGCCTCAGAAATACTAAACAGTCTGCCCAAGAGAGCTTAGTGAGGGAGACTGGGCTCAAGCTTAGGGATGCTAGGGCAGATGTGACCTCTGCGAAATGTGTCTCCCACTCATCATTCAAGCCTCATGTCAACCCAGGAGACTCAGTGTGACAGCCTAAGATAGATGCCAAAATTAATCACTTTCTAGCTGTCCAGGACCTTTGCAATAAAAAATAAGACAGGAGGCCTAAAATTACCAGAGAACATAAAGAAAATGAAATGTTTTGGGCTGGGGAGGAGGCAAGCAATATCTATCTATTTGATTGTTTAATTCATAATGTGGTTCAGACATATATTATTAACAAAGCTACCTGGAAGATTCTTTTAAAAATGAATTCTGGGGGCTGGTGAGATGGCTCAGTGGTCTAAAGCACCTACTTAGAGCAATCTTGGCAGAGCACGGGGACCGTGGTTCGATCCCCCAGCACCACATGCCAGCCAGCCCCGCCCCCTGGTGGGCTGAGCTGGCCACACACACACACACATACATAAATAAATACAATTTAAAAAAAATAATGCTATAAAATTAAAAAACATGAATTCTGAATAACTAGATGGCAGGCTCAGTTGTTTCCAATTACTAAGGAAATATATGCACTTTTAGCATGTACATGTAACAAATTTTAAAAGCTTAAATCACAATTTTTTATGTATTTGGTACAGGGTCTCACTATACAGCTCAGACTCAGCAATCCTCCTGTTTTCAGCCTCCCCAGCACTGGGATTATATGTATGTGCCACCATGCCTGGTTTTAGTGGCCACCTCATTGGGCCTGGGGCAGGGCTGGCATGGCATGTGGTGACAGGGATTGAACCCCAGTCCCTGCGCTTGCCTAAGCAGGCTCTTAGCCCACTGAGCTATCTTGCCAGTCTTCAATCACAACATTTTAAATTGTGCAGTTAAAATATACATGCATACATATGCTCTCTGAATTATATGTGGGGACAGGAGTAGAGCTCAGGTCACATTATCCCAGTTATTACTCTGGGAGAAAGATGGCAAATTAGCAAACTATAGAGAGCTGGGGTCTAGCGCTAGCTCTGCCTCTTACTGATCCCAGGCTTGTGGTTCTATCTGTAGCTCTTACCTGCTTCATCTGCAGGCCCTAACCAGCCCTGTCTCTATGGGGTGAGCAAACCAGTGCAGCGAAGGCACTTTGAACCCCACCTTGGGCTGCAATCATGTCAGGAAAGTTTAGAGCCCCTTAGTGAAATTGGCTGCCCAGGCTTGTAGGTCAAACACAAACTGGAGCCTGGCCCAGAGGCCTCTGTGCTGAGTTGGGAGACACCACGAGGCAAGGCCTTCCAGAGATAAAGGCTTGGAGCTCCTGTCCCTGAGGACCTCCCTGGAGGAGGAAAGCAGAAGAGCAGGGCACTCACCTTCCTCCCTGTACTCCACGGTGTACCCTGAGATGGTGCAGTTTCCTGTGCTGGCTGGCGGGAGCCAGCGGAGAATTACAGAGGTGCAGCTCCTCTCCTGGGCGATGGGACGGTTGGGCGCTGCGGGAACACCTGTGGAGACAGAGAAGAGGTTAGGGTTGCTTGGTAGAAGCTGATATTTCCCTTTACGCAGGATGGCACCTTGAAAATGTGACCTAATCTAATCTCAAATTCTTCCTATGGCATCCACAAGACAGCACACCTTTGTCTGGGCCCAGGGAGACTTGTGATTCACTCTGTGGTCTGATGTGCTTCCTCAGACTAAACATTGCATACTAGGAAGGAAGCACAGTTAGGGAACCATGCAGGAAGCTGTGGTAGTTGGCAGATATCTCTTAGCAAAGATTAAAGATGCGTTCTCTTCTGATTGGCCAAAATTTTATTTTGGAATTTTCACACAGGATCATTTCTACCCTGGGTCTCAGGAAGATTTGATCACTTACAATGTTTGACTAACAGCTTCCTAGTGACAGAAAGCATAAAAGTTGTGGCCAGGAGTGTAGGAGGGAGAAATGAGGAGTTGCTACTAAATGGACATGGATGGAGTTTCAGTTTGAAAGATGACGAGTTCTGTGGATGGATGGGCAGATGAATGGATGGATGGATGGATGGATGGATGGCAGCACAAAATATGAAAGGATTCCACTGAGCTGCTTAAAAATGGTCAGATGGTAAGTATAAGGTTGTAATTTTTAAAATGCCTACAAGTAGAATAAAGAAAGACACTGTACCTTGCACCTTGACTGTGGCAGATGTGGACGTGGTTCCATGGTCATTTGTGGCTATGCAGGTGTAAATCCCACTGTCTTGGGGCATCAGGTTACAGATCTTCAGGGTGATTTCCCCAGAGTCACTAGGGACACAAAAGGATGTCCTTCAGAATTACCATGAGACGATTTCTTGTCAGGTAAAATCCCGTAGGGTTGGCATGCGGTGTGCTTAGCTGAGAGCCTATAGGCCCAGGGCTACCCTGTTCTGTGCCAGCCTCCACGCCCTGGGTGGCCACTTTGCCTCTGTATCCCCATGAACTCATCTATGGATAAAATTTATGGAAATAAGGGGCAGATGAAGGAATCACATGAGATAAGAAATAGAAGACTATTTCTTATGACTTGAAATATATAAAGTGACAATTTGTAACATAATTAGTATTATCTACTACCACTAGCAACTTTTGTCCCAAATTATTTTCAACCACACAAATCAACAATGAATAGTACAAAAGTATGAGAAGACTAAAGCATGAAAATATTTAAGTATTTTAAATCATGCCTTAAAATAATGAAGTGAATTAAGAAAAAGTAAATGCCTTTACCTACATGCTAATTTTTCTGCTTAATCCAGTGGGGTCCAGGAGCCCCCAGTAGGAAGAACTGCCCCAAAAGAGTTAAAGCAGAAGCCAGGCCAGCCCCCCCCCTTCCCACAGCTGTGACCCATTCTGGGCTCTTCATCTGTCCCATAAAGCACAGACTCTCACTCCAAGTTTCTCAGGGCCACAGACTTTTTGACCTAGTTGAGAGTCTCTGTTGAGAACAGTACAAAATGGTAGTATTTTTGTCTATCCCACACACGCACAGATGTTAAGTTGATGGCTGAACGTTTCTTGACGTTAGGTGTTCCTTCCCTAAGTGATGGCTGCGTGCTTAGGGCTTGCTATTGTTTGTCCACTGAAAGTGGCACTAACAATGAAGCGCATGATTAGGAGCAGAATGACGGGAAGAATGGTCTTATCTGTGTAGAAGTATGATTGCGGCTTGATTTCCTATTGAACATTTTAGAATGAGCTCCTCTTTTCCCCTCTTCTTATAAAATTGTTCTTAGGTCAGTTTCACAGCATTCTGGAGGGCCCACAACACCCCACGGCATCCAGATTGGAGCACCATATTCCTACCCCAGCTCTGGAGCCGTCACTATTTCTCCTGACTTAGAGAGTTCCCTGGGGATCCTTTAGAGACAGATCATTTAATGGGGTTGCTGTGAGACAGGGACTGTGAAGGCTCATACTTGACCTGGAATGTAAAGTTTATTCTTTTCTCTGTTTTACATGGTCCAGAACACAGTTTTCCCAAACAGTTCTTGCTGGCTCCACACGAGGTACAAGGTGCTGAGTTACATTAGCTATGTGGGCCAGGGCAGGATGCTTGGGCGGCCGAAGCCAGTCCTCAGTCTTACAGCAAGGATTCTCTGTGGGGGCTCTAAGCCACCTGTGGTTTTTCCCTCAATTTCCTGATGAAGGTCAAGTGCTACGTCTCTAATAGTCCTGGGGGGCAGCTCTTGGGGACACTAGGAGTGCACAGAGCTGCAGCTCGGAATGAGCCCCTGGACGCTGTGTGGAGGCTGATGCACACCCCAGGCCATGAGCTCACCAGGAGGAGACTGTGTATGTGGCCGAGTTGTTGTCTGTGTCCAGGATGTTCTGGTCTGGACCTTTCCAGGTAATGGTGGGCTTCGGCCGCCCACAGACTTTGCACTGCAGTATCACCGTGTCCCCAAGCAAGCAGGTCACATCCACTAAGGGCACGAGGAATTCTGGGGCCACTGTGATCAAATGGATATCCGTTTACATCATTTGTAATCCACTCAGGCTAAAATAGCACTTTAAAAAACACAGTATTCTTATCCCCACTCATGTTGTACAGCAACTCAAATAATCTTCAGCCTTGTACTGTTAAAACATCTGGGTCACTCTGAACAATATATTAAACGGTAATTGTATAAAAATTAGAAAATATACAAAAACAAAAAGGAACAAAAGCTCCAAGATCCAGAGGTAACTACTGTGAATATTATACAAACATACTTTTTACCAAATTGAATGCCCTTAGACATACTGCATGTCATAGCCTTTTTCACTGAATAGTTTATCATAACATCTTTCTTTGTCCATAAATACGGAAATATGTCACTACTGCTGAAGGTCTCTACTGAGTGCTAGAAATACTGTGGGTTTTTTAAGCCAATTCCACATCTTCAGTTCTACCCCTATGTAACTCACCTTCTTGGATGAAATTTGGATTTAAGATCTGAAAAACACAAAGAAACAGAAAATTGCTTGAATCCTAAGCAACTAAGAGAGGAGACTTCTGCCCTACTGAAATGAAAAAAAAAAAAAAAAGAACCATTTAGGCGATGGAGGCTGCAGCCCAAGTGGCGCCTTGCTGTGCTGCTCTACTGTCGCAATTACAAATTCCTCTCCTACATAGAGGGCACTCACTTTCCTGTCTATTGCTGTTGGCCCTAGAGGCTGTCGTCCCTCGGAGGTCTGCCACATGTGGGGCAGGACCCTCCTCCCTGTCCTCAGCTGTTCTTCCTCCCCTCCCACACACAGTCCCATGTCCCCTGCCAGTCAGCAGGCACACGGGTGCTATGGCACTGCTTCTTCCCAGCTATGAAGTCTTAAAAACTCAGGACCCTAGCTTCAGCAAACTGGAAGAGTCACCAAAGTGGGCTTACCTGTTGGTTTCCTTCCAAGTATCTTCCTCCCCCCACCCCCTTGTCCTGGCAAAGGAAAGTTCCTTTTGAGCAGCTGAATGCACAGCTTCTCTGGCTGAAGGGGAAAAAAGTCTGTCCGTCCTGTCCTGGAGCCCAGGTGTCTGCAGGACAATGGGAAACCGCTAACTGTTGTGACCTTGGCGCCACACCAGACAGCAGGCAGAGATTCAGGCCTTCTGGGGCACTTGCCCAAGCCCACAGCTGGCTCAGGAGAAGCTGCTGGAATGGCCTGTGCACAGCATGCTGCCTGCCTCAGGATGACCCAGTTCCTTCACAAAAGAGAGAACATGCTAGCTGCTCAGACATTCTGGAAAGTTACCCCTTCTTGAGGGAGTGGGTGCTCTGATACCCTCCTTCCATCTCACCCTTTCTATTACCTCTAATCAGGCCACAAACTTGGAGTGGTGGAAGACACATGGGCTTTGCAGCCACAGAAGCAGGGGTTACCACCCTGTTTACTGGGATTGTTTGCTCCTTTTTTAACTAACAGCAACTAACATCAATTTCTTCCACTATAATGCAGGGACACATGTCATAAAAGTTAAATGAAATAGGTATGTCTAGTGCTTAACACAATGCTTAATGAATAGCGAGTACTCAGTACCTATTCAATAAAGATTATCCAATTCAGTTATCTTCCTTCTGCTAAGCAGCCTATTATTAAAGTGGCTTATCTTTCTTTTTTTTTCTCAAAGACTGTTTATTTATTTATTTATTTATGTATTTATTTATTTATTTTGGTGGAACCAGGGATTGAACTCAGGCCCTTGTGCTTGCCAGGAAAGCACTTATTCTACTGAGCCATCTCCCTGGTCTCTTATCTCTCATAGTTCAAAATTCTTCCTTCCTTCCTTCCTAGTGAAGCCTGAGCCCTCATGTTCCATGTGGAACAGCACGCCTTCCCACTCACATTCCTGCATCTTCCCTACCAACATGAACACACAGTTTCTGTGTTCTTCTTTTGGAGGGGCCCAGATGGAACACAGATGTTACTTCCTTCTTTGTCTTCCCTCTTGCAAATAATTACTTACTTACACCACTCAGGCATATCAGAAGTGGGCTGCAGAAACTTAACATGCCAAGTTCTAGGGCTCAATGTCCCAACTCTGGCCACTGCAGTGCCTACTCTCAGAAGGTACCTACAACACTGTACAAACCAGTGGTTCTCAGTCCCTAACCAGGGAAGCTTTAGAAACACAAAAAGACCTCATGCCAAAGGAGTGTTTGCTTTTCTGCTTTTTTTAAAAAAAAAATATCTGCCTTATTGATGCAAAGTGGGGCCCAGAATCAATTTTGAAAACCCCTGCAGGTGACTCCACAGGTAGCCTGACTCAAGGACTGCTGAAAGTTCTGTTCTATCCAAGGAAAGCAATCTTAAACCAACTTCCCATCCCCGAGGCCTTTATGCACCCATGGTGGTGGGGAATGCAAGAGGCATGGTGTGCTTTACTCACACCTAAGAAAATCCTCTGGACTATGGTGTGTGGTGGTGGTGGTGGTGTAGAAGGTGGCTCCAGTTGAGCAGGTAAACAACCAATAGCCCTGGTAAGCAGCCTGTGATAAAAAGGCTGTGCTTTCACTAGCCTGGCAGAAGAATCACACCATGCCTCTTGGTAAGGCAGGAGAATCACATCCAGGTCAGTCACCAACCAACAAAAGGAAGCTGAGAATATTTTCTAGCCTTTAACATTGGCTATCTCAGAGTGGGGGCATGAAGGGTGGTCTTGATAGGCTCCAGCCTGAGTATAAACTGCTAAATTATCATGGCCCTGGTTCAACACGGCTGAATCCCCAAACAATAGCTTATCTTCTCAATGACCACTTCCTCCTTCTTCCCACTCCAGCCCTGGATACAACTTCCTTTTACCTTTTCTGCACACACAGGGAGCCTCCAATCAGCTCCTTGTGGGTCACTAAATCTGCCCTTCAAATTCTGCCTCTACCAAAAGTTCATGAAGTCTCAGCACACCCCCCCCCCCCAGAGGATCCTCTCACCTCCCTGGGATCCTCTCACCTCCTCTCACCTCCATGTCCTGCCCAATGTAACAAATGCCTCTCCTATGCAGAGGGCACTCAGGCACTCTCCTGCCCATTGCTATTGGCCCTACATCCTTTTCTTCTGCTTCTGTGCCACACTACTGCTGAAAAACCTAACAGCTCTTTCTATTCAAAAAATGTTGACTAAACTCATGCTTGGCACTAATTTCTGTGTGCAGTTTTGTGGACAGAGCCACAGTGAGGCACAAGCCCTGCCCGCAGAATGTACAAACACAGGCTGAATTTTGGGCGATCTTTTTCTTTTCTTACTTGGGCTTTCTAGATATTCTGCATTCAATATGTTTCACCTCATTTTTTTTTTCCAAGGAAAAAGAAAGACTCCATCACACGCCTGGACTACAATTCTTCTGAAGACAGGAGCCATGTGTTGTTCCCCTTTGTGCCTCAGTCCCCTCACCCAGAATCTGCATCTAATACATTCTTGTGAATGAGTATTTGACCTTTGGCCTCATTTCAGTGTTCTCAAAAAGTTAAGACTGGTTCATGAATAAAATCTCAAAATAGGACCAAAAGATAGATACAACAATTAGTTATGGGTAAATCACTAATACTATTGGGTTACAGCCTGCTTGCAAACACAGAAGGAATGCAAACCTGGGAAAACAATTAAAAAGTAGTGTAATCCACAGTCTCTGGAAGAGGAGATGAGTAGCAGCCTGCAGCGCAGCAGCCACAGCTCTGGCTCTGGGAGTGGACAGAGTAGTGGCTCAACCCGGCCCAGACATAATCTCTTGCCTTGAACATTTGTAAGCACAGGGCTTTGGTTTTATCTGCTTCTTGGGGATGCCTTCCTAGAAGAGTGGTTTGATGTAAAGACTCAATTGATCTGATGATTTACTGAGTCTGTATCAGAAATAATGTGCCCCCACCCCCGCTCCCTACCTAGCCAGTATGCTTCAGTTGTTAGTTGCCCAGGTAACAGTTCCTGTTTTAGATCTGGTCACTCCTGTCTTAGAAACAGCTGGTCAGGTCACTGTGATGCTCCTTGTATAACCCAACTAACGAGCCCTTCTCCCTCTGTACTTCCTACTTGCTTACCCCATTAAGCCCTAGCCCACCAGAGATCAGGGCTGGATATTTTGGGAGTGATCCCTATCAGTGCCCACTTATGTCACTAAATCTGCCTCCAAATCCTGGGTGTTGTTTTGGTATTTCTGCTCACCCTTGCAAGCTGATCTTGTCCAGGTTGCAGCGCTAAGCAGGCAGCAGGAGGACATGCTTTCTACCCTCAGTGGGCCTTTTAGTGGGGGAGATGGAATTGATGACATGTGTGAGGTAATGTTTGATGGCTGTTAAGAACCAGCCTTCAATAAACACAGAGCTGAAAACTTTCTCCTACCCTGCTCCTACCCAGTCAAAAGGTCTTCAGAGTAGAAGCTACTGTGACTATTGAGAGCTTTGTTCAATGGCCTGGATTCCCATCATGTAGCAAGACAGCGAATCCATGCTGGGGGTCTCACAGAGGAGACACCTGACAAAGGTACAGTAACAGGTATTATAAAAATATAATACAGGGCTGGCCAAATAGCTCAGTGGATTAAAGCACCTGAAAGCAGGCGCAGGGCCAGGGGTTCGATCCCCAGGCCTGCAGTGCCAGCTCTGTCCCTCAGGCACACTGAGACAGCAATTGAGACTGGGCATGGTGGCGTGTGCCTGTAATCCCAGCTCTTGGGAGGCTGTAAATAGGCAGATCACTACAAGTCTGATCTAGTAGTAAGACCCTGAACACTTTGTAGACCCTTCTCTAAAATTTAAAAATA